GCATTTTGGCTTTGGAACGGCTTTGTTTCAGACGTCGAACTTTTCACGTGCCGAGCCTAATGCATAAATTATTATAACATATTTTACGAGCAGTTTACACTTTGCCTGAAAATCGCCGACATTTCGATGTGATTTGGTTCAAACTAACTAAAGTTTGGTGAATTAAGTTCAACATCTGAATCAACAGGCATACTTTTGATAATATGGGCCAGTCTAAATTCAAATAATTGAGTTCAGCTCATGAAAAGTTCAGCATCTCAACTGGGCCTTAGTGAACTTTAAAAATCTGATGAATTATTTTGAATTGTGTATTTTGTAAAACATAAGAGATCAAGGAATTCGGTAAAGGTTGAAACATTTTCTTCTCTTACTACATGCTAAACAGAGAAGCAACAATGAAAGTATGTGCCAAGAGTCATGAGGAGAAAGAATCATGTTGAAACAGTGGATTCCATATTCTTAGTAAGTGAGCCACAATTTCTTTGTGTTTGGTTTCGTGCACTAGGCATGACATTTTCAGGTGGAAATTTTTATAAAAAATAGAAAGGCTACTGTTTTATTTTTCAGCTATTTCAAGAAACTGTTGTTATGTGGCAATACTACAGCTTAGCCCTTCAGGGGTGGGGTATACAAAACTTCCTTAAAACTGCAATGCCTGGGAAACTTGTTGACAAGATTAGTATTCTTTTGTGGGAGGAGGGACACAGTAATCTAATGTTAATTAAGCACACTAGACTGTAGATCAAGAAGTCAGGGTTTGACCCAACAGTTAGGGTCTTCGCATTGTGTTCTTGGGCAAGACACTTAACTCTCACACTACCTCTTTCCACCTTGGTGTACTAAATGTACAGACGGTTACTGGGTAAATTTAGTTGTACCCTGCAACAGGCTTTTATCCTATCCCATCCCATTTTCAAAATTGCCACTTCTTACAAATGTGATGATTTTCTAATCAACGTGTAGTTCTGTGAAACAAACAGACTGGCATCCAATACACAGGGGATTAGAACTACTCAATTTCACTTGATGTAACAGAGACTGGGGATGGTGGCTTAGATCACTTGGCCTGATACAGACTTTACCTTGCCTTCAAACTCCAAATTTACCCTAATTAAAACCTTAAAAATCTGATGGCTTATATTTAATTGAGTAGTTTGCAGAACTTAAGAGATCAAGGCTGTCATAAAGGTTAAAACAGTTCCCATTTCTTACTAGATTCAAACCAGAAAGATGTATGCCGAGACTTATGTGGAGAAAGATTTATATTGAGGAGATACATGTTACTCTCACACAGCTTCCCTTCACCCAAATATACAAATGCATGTTGGGTGAATTTCATACTGGGACTAAACCTGCCACAGACTGGCATCCCATTTGGTCAGGGGTGGGTTGGAGAGCACAGAGTAGAAAGACGCATCGTCAATTGATGCTACAGGAACTAGGATAAGGTGTGGAAGTTTGGATCACTTAGCCTGATGAAGACTTTACCTTACCTTCATCATCTAAACACCCCTTAGTAGGGGGAGGCTAAAAATTAAAATGCATAAAGATTTTATTGTTTCATTACTGTTAAGTTATCTCAACAAACCATTGTTATGTGGCCATGTACCTTAGCTCTTTGGGGGTAGGGTGTACAAAAATTCCTCAAGACTACAATGCCACTGGTACTGTTGTTGAGGAGTGTTGTTTTGTGGGGGAAGGACACAGTGGTATAATGGTTAGTGTACTGGACTGAACATCAAGCAGTCTGGGTTTGAGCCAATGCTTAGGGTCTCTTTGTTGTGTTCTTGAGCAAGACACTCTACTCTCACACTAACTCTCTCCACCCAGGTGTACAAATGGGTGCTGGGTGAATTTAATACTTGGTGCTAGTCCTATGACAGACTAGCATCCCATACTGGCAGAATAGAAATACACCTTATAGGCCTGGATAAGCTGTGGGGGTTTGGATCCCTTGGCCTGATGCAGACTTAACCGTACCTTCATTGTGGAAACTTGTCCCTGTAGGGTTGAAATGGAAAATTCTTATGGTTTCGTTTTAGTTGCGTAGTTTTTGAAATTAAGAGATGAAGGATGTCAAAGGTTAAAACATTTCCTGATTCTTACTAGATACAAAACAGAGAAGAAACAAGAAAGGCTGTTCTGAGACTTTAGAGGAAAAAGAATTAAATTGAGGCATTGGATCCCTTATTAAGTGAGTGCCAATAATTTATTTTAAAACGAAGAGTTTTTCATCACTAGATGGTGCAAGTACTAGGAGTACATGTAATTGTACACAATGCAGACAAAGAATTTTAAGTGTGTATGACACAATTTTTTTTTTTTAATATTTTCCTTCCTGGATATATCTAATGGACGAATACTGTTTTGAAAATGCAAAAAAAAAATAATAATGTGGATGATTTTTCATGGCCAAAATACAGTCAATTTCATTATAAAAGTGTCGCGGGAAACTGGGGATGAGAATTGTGTTTGTTATGTCACAGTGTTTGATAACATTTCAGTGGCGCAAAGGCGCCTTGTCATTTCTCTTGCACATGGCTTCAAATGTGCAAGTGATTAGCTAGCTAGTAACGCTAATTTTCAACCCGCTCCATTTCCCTTCGCTTTCAACCATATTGGTTTGTTTATCAAACACAGTGATGTCACAGACGTAAATCATGTGACATTTTGGCCGTGCGATCCCTGGGACAATTTCCACACGAAAATAGCACGTATTTCAAAATATTCTCACGATCTAAAAACTTTACAACTGTTTTTCTAACATTATTAACGACCAGAATCAGTGGGGGAAAAAATTGTGTCATATACACTTTTTAAAAATATAGAGTGCTATATTTTTGCTGGGGTTATTTATTTCGTGTTGCTGCTTGTCCCCGTTTTAGGTTGTTCTTAATTTCATTATGTTAACTCCGTGTATTTCTGTGATGATGATTTAACCAAACGACAAGCGCATTCCCGATGAGAGAATTAACTTGTAAACTATAGTCGAGAATGCACTGTATGTATATTTTGTTTTGGGGGTTTCAGAATGCCCATGGTTAATTGGACGTTTTATTTTTCTTTCTTTCAGGCTGCCATCTGAAGTGTACATGCAGCTACATTACCATGGAGAAGGAAGCAAAGGAAGGCAAAGAACTTCGTTTACACTGTAGATGGATCACGTTTTAAAAGTAAGGTAGATTACAAGGCAAAGTTTATCTCGATTGAGTTTTCATGCGAGAGATTGTTAGGGCGGAGCTCGTATTAGTGATTTCACAACACAAGAGTTGCTGTCAAATTGTCTCGTATCTTGCTAGTTTTTTGAGGAAGCCGTGAAGTGTATTCCAAGTTTGTAGCTGTAAAATTTAGGTAGAACATTAGTTCTACCTGGATTTGTTTTTGCAACACGAAGTCACGAAGTCTCGTTAGTAAACTTGTCGTTAGTAATTACTGTCAAATTGTCTTGTATATATTTCACAAATTTACTGAAATCTTTCTAGTTTTCAAAGACGCATTGAATTGACAAAAAAGGTTGCGCTTTTAAAAGGGCCAAGGAAAAAATTGAAAAGTGGAAAAATTGTCCTTAGAAAAAAAGTCTGCAATCTTAAATGGTGTCTGGTTTAGAGTCAAACATATACGGAGTCTTTTTGGTTGAAAAAATCTTGCACTATGTAGGGTTTTTCCCATTAAAACTCACGGTATATACTTGATTTCTGGCTAGACTCTGTTCAAATACGCAGAATTTTTTTTCTTTTTGGCAACCCTACATAGTCAAAAAATAGTAAAAGAGATAGCCTACATTTTGACTAGTTACCAGGCCCTTTTAAAAGTGC